GACTGGTGTGATTCTACATTGTGTAAAACCTGAAGAATGAAAAGTTATACTCCCTTTATGTATGATGTGTCAAAATGCATTCTACTGTCATGTATCACTAATTAGAACAAATTAAAAAAATAAATGAGATATTAGGTCATAAGAAGACATGGAGGAATAGAGTTACTTTGGATTAGGTAGAGGGGAGTAAAGGGAGGGGGGCATGGGGGTAGGAAGGATAATAGAATGAAGTGGACATTTTCACCCTATGTATGTATAAATCTACACAACTGGTGTGATCCTACATCATGTGCAACCAGAAGAATGAGAGATTATACTCCATTTATGTATGATGTGTCAAAGTGCATTCTACTATCATGTTTGACTAATTAGAACAACAAAGATATGGAGGAACCTTAAATGCATGTTGCTAAGTAAAAGAAGCCAGTCTAGAAAGGCTACATACTGCATGATTCCAACCATATGTCATTTTGCAAAAGACAAAGTCATGGAGACAGCAAAATACCAGCGGCTGTCAGGATTTAAAGAGGAGGAGGGATGAGTATGTGGAAATAGAGGATTTTAGGGTGGTGGAGCTATTCTAAAAGATACTCTAATGGCACAAGTCAAGACACACAGAATATACTACACTAAGAGTGAGACTTAGGGTAAACTTTGAGTGATTGTAACATGTAAGTACAGGTCAGTAGATTATTATAAATGTATTGCTTTGGTGGGGGATGTTGGCAGGGAAGGCTGTGCATGTGGGGACCTCAGGTGGAGAGGAAATCTAGGTACTTTCTGCTTCGTTTGCTATGAACCTACACTGCTCTAACATGTAAAGCCTATTAAGAAAATAAAAACTATAGACTGGAAAAAAGCCCCACAATAATAATTATAATCTTAAAACTAAATTTACCATTAATTTAACAAAGCTTTCAGAGCACAGGGACCATTAACAGGAGGGGGTATAAAAGTATCTCATCCTGCTTGATTTGGGGAAGAGGGAGGTTAGAAGTGCTATTCAATTATTGATGTTGCAAAAAAATCTGGTGTTTAATTAAACTTCGTTAAAATTTTAAGTAAAATTCTGGTAGAATAGGAGTAGGATACATAATTCCAAAAAGAGTATAAAAAAGAACAAAGAAAATTTAATGAACCCCATATATGTTTGGAAAGGAAAGGGAAAACACTGAGAAAATCTACATAGAAAATATAAAGATACTGGAAACATGGAAAGTACCAGGGCAAATGTGGATTTCCCTATGAAGGGACAGGCTGGCTCTGGGTAAGGAGAGGAAGCAGAAGAGGGTGGAAGGGAGCTCCCCTTGGGGCTCTGTGGTCTGGGGACAGGCTGGAAGGCAGGTCTCCTTGAGTGAGGAGGGAGCTTACAGACAGGATCTTTTGGTGACCTGAGCCCTCCTCATGAGGGCAGCCCCATGGGCAACCAGCTGCTCAGGAAGTGACAAAATTTGCTTCGTTCACATTCCACTCACCTTTCTGCTTCTGTGACCTTCTGGATGTGGCTAGAGATAGGATGTGAGTAGTATCAGTTACTGTTCTCCTTTCTATTTGATGTGGCACATGCAGGGCACCTGGAGTACTTACACCCTCTAGGCCCTCTGGACCACATGAGGGACTGTGAAGATAAACGTCCCCTTTGCTGGCCAGCATGCACCCTGCATGGAGCTGAGAGGTGGACCAGGCCCTGGGGCATTTATGAAAGTTTTCTGAGTGTCCCTTGCTAATTGCATCTTTGACTCATTCTTGCTTCCAACTGTTCTCCTTCTCAAGGAGGCTCTCTTGCTCATGATGAATCATCAGCCAATCAGCTCTAATCAAATTTTCCATCACTAATCCCATTTATTTCAGACCAACCAGAAATTTCTCAAAGTTTCAGAATTTTGCTATTTCCTAGCACCATTTTCTTTGCTTACTCTTACATTCTTGAGTAATTTTGGTGGAAGATTGAGAGGAAGGGCATGTATGTGGCAATCTGAAGGTGATTCTAGCAGGAAAATTCCAAAATAGTAGCCTTATCATAATAAGTTCATTCTGATCACTTTGAGAATGGAAACACTTCTTTTGGTATATCAAGTCTGTTATGATGCATTTGCTAAGAAATGAATCCCGTCCTTTAAGCATACCAAACTTCCTTTCCCAGGACCTTTGCATGACCCTGGTCACACTCTGGTACAGAGTGTGATCTACTATGCTGAATAACAATAACAGAAGTTGATTCTTAGGCCAAACTGGAACTAAAACTTGAATGGTGGTATCTCTACCCCCTTTTCTGATGATGACATCCATCATAATTGTATATGATAATATCTCATCAGGTGTCCCCCAGAATACACAAACCCCTCTCTCATTTTCCCTCCTGGGTGCATCTCTACTCCACCATTGCAGGGCTGGAAGAACACAGTGACCACACAGCTCACACCTGCTCTTCCCTAAGATCTGTGCACAGATGTTCCTTCCTCAGAGGGATCATTCCTGAGCACTGTCTGCCCACTCTTTTCTCTCTCCCACCTTCCTGGTTTTGTCTGCATTTCTCAGTGCTTACCACTCCCTGATATTGTATTAGGTATTTGTTAGCTTTTATATTTGTTAGTCTTTCACCTCAAAAGGGATAAACTCCAAAAGGGCAGGGCCTTGGATCACTAATTTCTCTCACCACAGCCCCTAGAGCAGTGTCTTGTGACACTCTGTGGGTGTGCAGACCTGGTTCACTAACACTTCTCCTCTGTGAGGGCACAGAACAGGGACTAGTCAAGCCGGGTAAGCTTAGCCGTTCCACATCACTTCTTGTAGTGCCAGGATCACAAAGCAACTTCCTTATAAATCTTAGTAGTTTTTCATTACTGAATCCATTGCATGGTGATAAATCGACATTCTGGTTAACAAATCAGCCCTCTATGATATTGAATTACAAAACCTGGAGATGTCCCCATGGTAGAAGTCTAATCCTGCCATCAGTCTTATCCATGTCTGGGTTATCCCTCTGCATATAACACTTTGTTTGTGAGCACAGAGCTCCGATCTACCAACTGGACAATCATTCAGAGGTAATAAGGCAATACAGCAGTTCCCAGTGGCTGTGTTTGGTGGGCTCTGTGCTCAGCTGACATGTTTTATTGATCACCACAATCCTTCTCTGCCATTCTGTTATTTTCCAGTGTGATTAATGGTAAGCATATGGATAAAGGGAGATTTACAATAGTAAATGGCCACTTAAGTTATGCTTTGACAACCTCCAGCTGCCTATCCAAGCAGAAATGAACTACTCAAGGTGGAAAGCAATTGCTGCATGTAGAATTTAAGTCCAAGAACTGTCAAAGGCTTTGAGGAAGCATGAGGACCCGTGAGCTGCAGACCTTCCACAGAGTCTGGGAGTGGCCAGGTCCAGAGATCTCATCAGCCATTTTGGTGACCAGTGTGTAGGTGCTGCTGTCATGGAAAGTCGTCCAGGGAAGGTGTGTGGGCCACAGAAAATAAAAGGTGAGAAGGAAAAAGGAGAGAAGGGAAAAGGCAGAGAAGAGAAAAAGAAACAAAGTCAAATTCGTTGGGAGGGAATGGAACATCCCAATCACAGAATTTTTCTCTCTGGCTGCTATCCAAGGCCTTCTACCTGGAACACTTAGTAATGAAGGTGAGAGTCTGTTCTTACTCTGCCATTGACTTCTGGAGACAACCCTATAGAGACCAATAGGGGATAGCCACTAAGAGCTTTGATGTTGGCCAAATTGCCCAGAGGAACAGGAATTCACTGTGTTGATACCAGCCTTTGTGAGGATTCTGAGTGTACAGCAAAGGTGGTACCAACAGGCAGATGGAATAAAACCGTGGTGCTGCTCCCACATCTCTTGTTTTTCAAGAGAAATTCAGAGTTCTGACATTGTTGAGAAGCCAGAGTCTTCCCTGGTTTCCAGAATGACTACTGGGGTATTTTACACACCTCATAATGCCAGCTGCCACATTGGCACAGAACATCGGTATAGATTAACACTAGCTTAAAGGCAATGTTTTGATAAAAGCTATATTAAAAGAAAAATCCCTTCTCTCTTTGGAGCATTTCATGATTTCCTCTTGGTTTAGTGTTTCCTGTTGGCACCCCAACTGGATGCAATGATAACAGATGGGGTCGTCATCAGAGAAGATGGAGGGAATACCACAGATTATGATGGATGTCGTCATCAGAGAAGATGGAGGGAATACCACAATTCAAGTTTTAGCTCCAGTTTGGCCTTAGAATGGTCTGCTGTCATTATGTTATTCAGCATATTAGATCATACTCTACCATCAGCAGTGAAATCTTTGCAAGCTTCATTTAATATGTTGGCATCAAAGATAACATTTGCATCCTTCCCTAGCTCCTTGGCCAACAGTAATGATGCAAACAAATAACAATGAGACGAATTTTATAAAGAGGACAACAAGGGGTCCTGATTAGAGGCAAGAAAAGAGGAGATTGTATAGAGGAAAAAATGTGGACTTAGGGATCCAAAAATCCAAGATCCCTACTCAGTAGCTATATGAACTTGGGCTAGTTACCTACCTTCTAGAAACCTCAATTTTTTTAATCTACTAAATCAAGAGCCTCTCTCATAGGTGTGCTTGTGAAATCTCTTAAAATCTCAGGATATGACCTTGCATATTCTAAATGTACAATAATTAATTGTAATTTGGTGGCTATTACTATTACTGCTAGTTCTAGGGATTAATAGGAAAAAATTGTAACTCAAATAAAATTGATTCCATATCTACTCTGGTTGTTAGGATTCTCAAAAAAATTAGTTAATTCCTTCTAGAGCCTGTGACTGTAATCAGTGCAGTGGCCTGGCCTGCCCCTCAATTCATCTTGCATGCAGTCACTTGTTAGCATTTGAACAATGATCATCTCAACATATTACTTCCTGTCCCCTCTACCTAACAAAAGGCCTCTAAATCTGTGTAACTGAGCTCATCATTGTTGTGACCAAAATACCTGCCATGAACAACTTAAAGAAGAAAGGCTTTCTCTTGGCTCCCAGTTTCAGAGGTTTCAGTCCATGGTCAGCTGGCTCCATTGCTTTGGGACAGAACATCCTCTACCAGAGGTGGTAGAGGACAGCTGCTTATCTCATGGAAGAGAGAGAGAGAGAGAGAGAGAGAGAGAGAGAGAGAGAGAGAGAGAGAGAGAGAGAGAGAGAGATTTTGAGGTTGAAAGGGAAAAGGCTCAGAACAAGGTGAAGTCACACACCCAGTGACTTACTTCCTCCAATCATGCCCCACTGCCTACACCTCCAGGGTGGTCCATTTAGCTATCAATGGATTAATCAGAGCCCTTATGATCAATCACTTCCCCAAAGCCCCACTTCTGAACCTTACTGCACTGGTGATCATGACACGATACGTGAGTTTTGGGGGGACATTCCAAACCATTATAAGATCTTCTCATCAGGGCTCCTGAAGTCACCTGTTTTGGTTCCCTGTAATTTCATAGTTCTCAGCTTCAGGAGAGACACCAGTCAGATGGAGTCAATTTCAGTAGGGCTCATAGAGGCCTTCCACCCCCATGCACCACTAGTCTTGCTCTTCCTCTCTCTACTCAGACACTACTATTCATTTTGAAGGCTCAAACCTGCAACCTGTTCTGTGAATCCTTGGATCAGATACAGCTGCTCAGCCCCTCCACAGTGGTCAAATCCTGGGCATAGCTCTGGTTGCACGTATTTTGTGGTCTCCTGGGTGGCTGTTTATATATCTCAATGTCTGACTAGATAGTGAAGTTTCTAAGGGGTATAGACCACATCCTTCTCATCTCGGTGGCTGCTGTAATTTAAACCTTAGGTTTCTCCTAAAGGACCATTAGGCAAGGGCTTGATCCCCAGCATGGTGCCATTGGGAGGTGGTAAAACCTTAAGAAATGGGGTCTAGGGAAATGTCTACAGTTTATTGCAGGTGTGCCCTTGAAGGGATCAGTAGGACCCCAGCCCCATTCCCTTTCTCCCTGCTTGGCCATGAGGTGAATAGTTTGGCTCTACTAGATGCTCCTGCCATCAGGTGCTGCCTTGCCACATGCCCAAAAGCAACAGGGTCAACAAATCATGGAGTAAAACTTCCAAAACTGTGAGCTAAAATTAATCATTTCTCTTTATAATTTGATTATCTCAGAGCCAGGCCTGGAGGCACACTCCTGTAATCCCAGTGATTTGAGAGGCTGATGATGGAGAGTCATATGTTCAAGGCCAGCCTCATCTCCTTAGGGAGACCCTGTCTCAAAATAAAAAAAAAAGAAAAGAAAAAATGAAAAAGGCTGGGTGTGTAACTCAGTGGAAAAGTGTCTCTGAGTTCAACCCCACTACCCACCTCCAAAGAAGTGGATTATCTCAGTTATTTGTTATAGTCATGGAAAGATGATTAATGCTGTGGCCTCTGTGCCAGGACCAAGGATCCAATAACAGAAGGTACTTGGCAAATTAGCTGAATGAATCAAGAAATGATAATCAACACCACAGAGCAGAAATTGCTGCAGCTTTATGTGCAAACCTTCTGTCCCATCTATGCCCTATATGAAACATGACTTCAGCAAGGCTGAGCAGGACTAGTGCTTTCTGGGCCCCTTCTTGCCCAGAGTTTTCCCCTCCCTTTCACCTGTCTATATCCTTCTTCTCTGTAGTTTGGAGCCCAGTCAAGTGCCTGTAATATGAGATTTTTTTCTCCATCAATATTTGTGGGAAAGTACAAATGAAAGATAGATATGAAATCTCCTCATTACTCATCAGGGATCTAATTACTACTGGTATTTAGTTGCCTTTTCCTATCTTTTACTTCCTGAAATTAATTTTAGTACCTATTCAAGGGCCAAACATTTCATAGGTGTCTAATAAGTATTTTTTTGGCTGCATAAGATTTTCCTTAAGTCTTCTTTAATTTTGTATGTTATGGTCTATATTTTGCCATTCTCAAAAATATTCAAACTTATCCCAGAAGTAAAAAAAAATACAATGAAATAAAATAGACTGCTCACTTTACAATGTAAATAGAGTTTTTCTCACAGAAACATGGTTGTAATGATCATAGGCAAATCATAAACATTTAAGAAAAGAGTGGTGGTGGATGGCAGAAGAAGTAGCTCAACACTAGAGGTCCCTCTCTCCATGTGATCAGGTGGCCCTGCCAGGGATCCTTGCCAGTTTCCATGTCTTCTGACTTGGAACAAAAAGTGAGGAGCAAAGGGAATTTTGAACCAGCACATTCTTTGTGGCAGTGCAAATTAGATCTTATATATCAGGCCCGTGTCTCTGAGGCCCTGGCTCAGCCCCAAATGGAATACTATTTTCCCTCTCAAATCCTAGCCCCAGTTTCATTTTGTTCTATTTCTATCTGACTTTTGCATAAACCATGTGACTGCATTCGAATCATTTTATCTCATCCCCATCTGGGTGGCAATCTGGGTTGGAACCAAAATATCTCTGTGGGATAAGAACAAGCAATGGAGTCCCCACTACCCCTCAAAGGGACACGAGAGATTCGGAAATAACTCAAGGATCACAAGGTTCTGCAGCTCAGCCTGAGCTTTCCTCAGGGCTGCTCAGGGCTCCCTGCAGCCACAGAGTACTTCTCATTATTCACACGTGGCCATCAGATGCCAAAGACAGGGACCTAGGTAGGTTCCATCTGTTTCCCACCAAGGCTCAATGACTTGAAGGCAAAGAAGTTAGTAGAGGGACCCCTGAAAGGGACAAAGTTTGTTTTTAAAATGAGAAAAAAAAATTCTCATATGGAAGGAAACAAAGAATAGAAAGATGAAGCAGGAAGGCAAAATTTCCTTCTGTCTTGGTGGTGATGGAGTAGGGAAGAAGGAGGCAGAGGGTGACAGGTTCTTCAATGGCCTCCCTGTTCCAATTGGCTTAATCCTCTGTGAACTCCTGGAAGTAGCACTGCACCTTACTCCCTCTCTATTTATGCCATGGGGACTTCTCTCCCCTTCCCCTGCAGACACCTATCCTTTGACACACTTTGTGACCAAGATGGTGCTTGTAGGCAACACAGGCCACTCAGCAGGGTACAGAATGGAAGAGGCTGGTGGTGGCCTTGGAAGGAGGCCTGGATGATTTAATCTTAAAGATTCAGGGGTCTAGAAGCAGGGGCATGAGCTACAGGGGTTGGGGTTATCCCCTTGACATTGGGTGCTTCTCTCTCCATGATGAAATCAGCTGGAGAAGGACCAGCTCAGAGCCCAGGGCAGGGCCTGGTGGCCCAGGGGGAAGTGAGGTGATAAGTTTACCCAAGGAGTCCACTCCCATTTCCTTTGTCTTCTGATTCCATGTCCCTTGCTCCTTGGGTTAGAGCTTTTCTAGCTCAGGCCAAGAATCTCCTGTGACAACCTAAACAAAGTTGCTTTATCTCACATCCAGTGGCTGTGTTCTTAAAGATTTTTGCCAAATCCAATTGCACTGGACTTGACACAAACTATTTAGAAAAGATTTGAATTAGAGAATTCTTGGTCAATCAGAGTCAACTTATGATGGAGAATCTGGACTAGTTTGGAAGTGGCAGAAAACTATCCCTAAGTTATCAGTGCAGTCTGACATTTATCACTTGGTCCTTGACAAGTTGCTCACCCCCAGAGCTGAGGTCACACACATTTGAGGGCCCTGACAGAAGCCTTTGCATGGGTTTGTACAATCAAAAGCCAAATGACAACTTGGCCCTTTTGCTGGGAGAGCGGAGAGTCCCAGGAACAGAGGGTTGGGGGTACTGGGGCATTTCCTTGTGTTGGGAACAGCATTCTAGAAATTTCTGACACATTAGTGTCAGAAGCTATATGTCAGAATAGGGATGATGTTCATTTGCCCTCTATAATTCGGCTAAAAGTTTTGGCAGATTTTTAGCTGGCTGTTGCATGGACACAAATTTGGAGGAGGTAAATGCATTTATCATGTTATTGGAAACCCTGGGCCCACCCAGAGAAGTGAAAGAAGTTGGCAAAATTCCTAGCTGACTCCTATTGCCTTTATTTTCTCTACAAGGACACATCTCAGCGGCCGGCATGATCTCCAGATCAGTGAGCAGGAAAACCTGTTAATTGCTAGTGGCTTGAAACTTTGGGAGTAAAAGCTCAAAACCTGACAAGATCTTGTAAATTTAGGGATAGGCAATGTGCCACCTCAGACGTGAGTGTCATTTGCCTTGTTTTGTTATGAAAACTCATAACCTCCTATGAGGGGCACAGAGTTTGAAGTGGAATCCATTTAAGCTTTAGCAGTGTTTCAGCTGGGAAACTGGAAAGCACATTTGTCCACCTAATTCTGCCATTGTCACTATACTAATAGATGATAGCACATTGAGGGACCTAGCAGTCATTGCTTTTTTATAGGTTGGCAATTACCTTCATTTTTATAGCAGCCAGGAAGGCTGGGATGTGGAAGGAGGTTCTCCATCACAGCTTCTCTTCCTTCTGAGTTGGGTGTGTTTGTTCTGCAGGTACATGCAAAGCCCTCCTTGTTCTCTGTTGGAGTGAATACAGCAAAACAGCAATCAGACTCAAGGGACAATGTAGGTTTCACAAGGTTGCAATCACTTTTCTATAGGAAATGCATTTCCATGGGGAAGGTGTAACCCTCTCTTGTGCCAGTAATTTAAAAAACAAAACACAGATTTCTTGAAGGTTAGGGTATTCTGAATATAAATTGCTCTATAACAAATTAGCCCCAAACCTTGATATCTTAAAATAATAATAATCATTTAAGGTCATTATATAATTTGCAAGGGCTGCCATAATGAGCTACCATAGCCTGAGTGGCTTAAATAAGAGAGTTTATTTTCCCTCACAGTTCCAAAAGTTGGAAGTCTGAGACCATGGTGTCAACAGAGTTGATTTCTCCTGCAGACTTTCCTCTCAACTTGCAGATGGCCATCTTCTCCTGTGTCTTTAATCTCCTTTTCTGATGAGGACATGGGTCATTGGGGGTTAGGGCTTTTTTTTTTTTTTTTTTGGTATGCAGGATTGAACTCAGCATCATTCAACCACTGAGCCACATCCCCAGTCCTATTTTGTGTTTAATTTAGAGACAGAGTCTCACTGAGTTGCTTATCACCTTGGTTTTTCTAAAGCTTGCTTTGAACAAGAGATCCTCCTGCCTCAGCCTCCTGAGCAACTAGAATTACAGGCATATGCCACAGCACCCTGCTAAGGGCTTTGATATATGAATTTTCAGGGGGATACAATCCATAATAATCAGGACTCTACAGTTTGGATGGAGGTCAGCAGGGAAGGCTCATTTGTGCTCCACAATATTTGGGAGCTCAGCTGGGGTGTAGAGCAGGGTGGCTAGAGGAGTTCAGAGTCTCCAGTATCTCTCTGTGTGTGTCTAACTCCGGCTCCATAGTGCTTCTGGTCTTTCCTGGTGCTGTCTCCAGCATTGACTGCTCCAAGGTAGTGGGACTTCTACCATGTTGGGTCAGAGACTCAAGAAACTTAAGTAGAAGCTGCCAGGCCCTTTGAGATCCAGCCTCAGAAGCCATCATTGCCAATCCCTCATTTCTCTATGGGCACACAGGGCCAGCCACAGTCAGCAGAGTGCAGCTGTAGCAAGGGTGTGAACACAGGAGGTCTGGATAACTGGGGTCCATCTTGCAGGCTGACTACCACAGGTGAGAAGGTGGGCCTGACTCACAGGGCTGACGGGACACATCTGTGCATGGTGCTGATTCCAAGCCATTCTGTGATAATGCTGTGGCTTCCTCACCTCACTTTTCACCTCAGGCTATCTCTCCACCTCCAAAGATGACCTTGTTACTATCAGAGTTCCCTGGTTCTGGAAGGCAGCAGAAGAAGGAACATGAACCAATATGCTTAAAGTGAGACCTACACCAAAGTGACTGGGACCCGGGAACAGAGAATTCAGAGCATGGCACTCATGCGGGACTCTGCAACCATTTCTTACTAATCCAGAGTGAGAGGAGTACAGAAGCTGAGACTAGGAGTTAAGAAATGTCCATTGCAATTGGACAATCATTTAAGGCTATCAAGTGTGACATTTAAATGTGTGTGTTTATTTTTGTATGCATTTGTCATTTTGTTTTGCTCAGTAATTCATTTTTATTGTCTTTCACAGAAGCATCTGTCTATAATGGATAGCAAATAGAAACTGTGGGTCTATCACAACAGACAACTTGGGAAGCCCTAATTTAGGGGGCTCAATGGCCAGGGGCACAACAATATGATTGTATTTACTGTCATTGACTATGCATTCAAAACGGGTAAGAAGATAAATTTTATGTTACATTACCATACTCAAAAAAAGAAAAAGACACATGCAAAAAAGTCACGGATTCGGTGCTTCCTCTTCTTTGTCTTTCTCACCGCCCCAGCTGCCTCCTTGGTATTCTCTTGCTCAGAAACTGAGTCGTTTCTGCTCCATCCTCCACCCCTGCATTCTCCACTGGCTTCTAGCCTTTGCCATCTTATGTGGGCTCTTTCTGCTATGCACCTCAAGTCTCACTTGCTGTGAGTGGCTCAGACACATGCTGCTCTCCAGCTACTGTAACTGTTTCAGTCAGCTTGGCCAAAATTTCTAGAACAATCATGGCATGCTGGGCATAATTCTAATCCAGGGTTGTAGAGATGGTTTCTTCCTTCTTGAGGCTCTGGGTCTATAACATAGACCTGTAAATGGAGAATTTCAACATGATTAGTAAAGAACTGAGGAGGGGAGGAGGAGATTCAAGGGAGAGTTCTAAGATGAGATGTTCACAGCCTCGTGGAGTTACCCAGGCAAGCAACTTAGGGAAGAACCTGCTGGCTCAGGGCTGGTCCAGAGCAGAAGTCAAGGTATGGCCATATGGTGCTGATAGGCTGTTTGGTTGCTGGAGTGAAAGGGTTGGTCCACCCTGGTTGGTGGACCAAGAGGTTGATCTGGAGCAGCTAGGGCTGTTTGAGGACAAGTAGCCCATGAAGGGTTTCTGGAAGGGATAGGAATCAGTTTTGTTTTCTACCTATTGCTCTGGGGTTGAGTGTGGGGGTAGGTGGTCTTGGAGGGAGGCCCAGGAGCAGGGGAATCTGTTGAGAGATTCTGCAAGGGCCCAGGGATTCTAAAAGGCTGAATTAGAGAGGGGTCACAGCAACAGGGAGAAGGGGAAGATCCGAGGAGTAGTTCACAGTTGAAGTCGGCAGGGCTTGTCTGCTGGTTGCAGGGGAAGTGTAGTTGGTATATGTGTTCTGGACGCAGGGCCAGTTCTAATTGCGAGCCATTTCACCCATGTCCAGCCCAGTGGTCCTCTGTTGGTTTGCCCAACATGCTGCTGTCTTCTCAAGCCCCATCCTTTTCCTGGCAGGGTCCCTTTGGTCCAGGCTGCTTCATTCTGCCTTATTCTGCCCTTTCTGCCCCTCCGCCAGCACCTCCCCTCTGCAGGACACATGTCCTAATGCAACAGAAAAGCGAGGCTAATGAAAATACACTCTTCACCCAAGGTCCTAGTAATGTAGCCATCTGGAGATTTTTAATGTATAATTATGTGTGTCTGCACATGTAAATAAGGTTTTTTTTTTTTTTAGAGGAAAATTCATTCAAGTTTTTTGGTTTGGGTTGGGGTCAGGTTGTGGGTGGGGGAGTTCATTGATCCTTTTTAAAGTCACCATTTTATTTTGTAATAACATTAGATTTACAGCAAAGTTGCAAAGCTAGTGCAGAGAGTTCCTGTTCCTGGGTATCTGTGACCCATTTCCGTTTCCTCTAATGCTATTTATATTACTGTGGGACATTTTTCCAAACCACAGAATCAATCTTGGTGCATCACTCTTAACCAAACTCCAGGCTTTTTTTTTTTTTTTTTGCTTTTTCCTGTCCTTTTCTGGTCCAGGAACTAATCCAGGGTCCCACAGTGTGCTCCACCATTGTGGTTCTTAGTTTCCTCTTGTCTGTGACTGGTTCCTATTCTTCTGATTTTTCATGACCTTGAGAGATTTAAAGACTAGGACTTCCACACCGAGCTTGATGACAGTTGTCACTTAAGCAGTCACCTGTGAAAGTCTTAGGTACCAAGAGAATCGAGGACAATTATAGAATCAGTTGAACTCAAGATCATAAGGAAACTCAGATACGTGTGGCTCTGTTCCCCATGGTCACATTACAACACAGACTGTGAGGCTTTCAGTCAGAGTGGCTTCCAATCCCGGCTTCTCCATGAGCCACTCTGTAATTTAGAACAATTTTAAAAATCTTTCTGGTCCATTTTCTCCTCTCTAAAATAGGACTGGTATAACCTTTGAGTGCATGTAAATTGGGGTGTCACATCTGAACTGGGGGAATCAATATCTGAATTGGGAGAACATTTTTCATTTTCCATCCCTTCAGTATGAGAAGGAACTCTAGGGCAGAGATTTCCTTAATATTCCTTTCTATTGCTGTCCTGATATTTGCCTTTTCTTATCTTTAAAACGGATGCCCCTCATGTAATCTATATAATACAGTCTATCTGAATATTTTGACTTCATATCCCCGCTAAGTGACATAAAGAATTTCTGTGGTTTTAGTATCTTCAGATGACTTTGGATGAAAAGGAGAATCCCAAGAACCAAGTGTCTATTGGACTGTGACAAGATGACAGGATCTCTCAAGAGGAAATTGAAAGTATCCCCCAGGACCGATATTTCTGAATAGAGTGAAGGTTCTGGAGGAAAGCTAATGTACCCTGAATCTTCCTTGATCATTTTCTCCCAGTCCTGCTATACCCAGGATAGGGGCTGCAGTGGTGGACTGGAGATGAATGCACGAGAAGAAATGCATGTTCCTGGGGACGTCTTGATCAGAAGTCCATAAGGATGTGGACATCCACGGCATGGTTTCCACCATGTCCAGCTGACACCCATCCACAAAGTCTCCTTGGAAGACTGGAACCAGATCAGTTTCAATCTGTAAATCACCTCAGGACTCCAGAAGTCTCCAGATCTGGGGGCATCCTGGCATGGAAACCCCACTTGGCAGGGTTTTCAGGAAGTTTTAAATGAGCGTTTATAAAATGACCTGGTACCTCATACATAATAAACCAAAGTTCTTTCCTCTCCCTTTATGCTTTTGGTTTGAGGTTTTAAAATCATTCCTTTAAAAAGTAGGATATTTGAACATAAAGGGATGCTGTACTTTGTCGAATGCTTTTTCTGCGTCTATTGAGATGATCATATGGTTCTTATTTTTAAGTCTATTGATGTGGTGAATAACATTTATTGATTTCCGTATATTGAACCATCCTTGCATCCCAGGGATGAATCCTACTTGATCATGGTGCACAATTTTTTTGATGTGCCTTTGTATCCGATTCACCAGAATTTTATTGAGGATTTTTGCATCTATGTTCATCAGAGATATTGGTCTGTAGTTTTCTTTCTTTGAGGTGTCTTTGTCTGGTTTCGGAATCAGGGTGATGTTGGCCTCATAGAATGAATTTGGCAGAGCTCCTTCTTTTTCTATTTCCTGAAATAACTTGAAAAGTATTGGTATTAATTCTTCCTTAAAGGTTTTGTAAAACTCCGCTGTATACCCATCCGGTCCTGGGCTTTTCTTGGTTGGAAGTCTTTTGATTGCTTCTTCTATTTCATCTATTGTTATTGGTCTGTTTATGTTGTGAGTATCCTCCTGACTCAACAGGAACTTACCTCGACATTGTAAAAGCTATCTATGCTAAGCCTCAGGCTAGCATCATTCTCAATGGAGAAAAATTGAAGGCATTCCCCCTAAAATCTGGAACAAGACAGGGATGCCCTCTATCACCACTTCTATTCAATATAGTTCTCGAAACACTGGCCAGAGCAATTAGACAGACGAAAGAAATTAAAGGCATAAAAATAGGAAAGGAAGAACTTAAATTATCACTATTTGCAGATGACATGATTCTATACCTAGAAGACCCAAAAGGGTCTACAAAAAAACTACTAGAACTAATAAATGAATTCAGCAAAGTGGCAGGATATAAAATCAACACGCATAAATCAAAGGCATTTCTGTATATCAGCGACAAAACTTCTGAAACGGAAATGAGGAAAAACACTCCATTCACAATATCCTCAAAAAAAAATAAAATACTTGGGAATCAACCTAACAAAAGAGGTGAAAGATTTATATAATGAAAACTACAAAACCCTAAAAAGAGAAGTAGAAGAAGATCTTAGAAGATGGAAAAATATACCCTGTTCATGGATAGGCAGAACTAACATCATCAAAATGGCGATATTACCAAAAGTTCTCTATAGGTTTAATGCAATGCCAATCAAAATCCCAACGGCATTTCTTGTAGAAATGGATAAAGCAATCATGAAATTCATATGGAAAAATAAAAGACCCAGAATAGCAAAAGCAATTCTAAGCAGGAAGTGTGAATCAGGCGGTATAGCGATACCAGACTTAAAACTATATTACAGAGCAATAGTAACAAAAACAGCATGGTACTGGTACCAAAACAGGCGGGTGGACCAATGGTACAGAATAGAGGACACAGAGACTAATCCACAAAGCTACAACTATCTTATATTTGATAAAGGAGCTAAAAGCATGCAATGGAGGGAGGATAGCATCTTCAACAAATGGTGCTGGGAAAACTGGAAATCCATATGCAACAAAATGAAACTGAATCCCCTCCTCTCGCCATGCACAAAAGTTAACTCAAAGTGGATCAAGGAGCTAGATATCAAATCAGAGACTCTGCGTCTGATAGAAGAAAAAGTTGGCTCTGATCTACATATTGTAGGGTCGGGCTCCAAATTCCTTAATAGGACACCCATAGCACAAAAGTTGATAACAAAAATCAACAAATGGGACTTACTTAAACTGAAAAGTTTTCTCTCAGGAAGAGAAACAATAAAAGAGATAAATAGGGAGCCTACATCATGGGAACAAATTTTTACTCCTCACACTTCAGATAGAGCCCTAATATCCAGAGTATACAAAGAACTCAAAAAATTAAACAATAAGAAAACAAATAACCCAATCAACAAATGGGCCAAGGACCTGAACAGACACTTCTCAGAGGAGGACATACAATCAATCAACAAGTACATGAAAAAATGCTCACCATCTCTAGCAGTCAGAGAAATGCAAATCAAAACCACCCTAAGATACCATCTCACTCCAGTAAGATTGGCAGCCATTAGGAAGTCAAACAACAACAAGTGCTGGAGAGGATGTGGGGAAAAGGGTACTCTTGTACATTGCTGGTGGGACTGCAAACTGGTGCGGCCAATCTGGAAAACAGTATGGAGACTCCTGGGAAAGCTGGGAATGGAACCACCATTTGACCCAGCTATTGCCCTTCTTGGACTTTTCCCTGAAGACCTTAAAAGAGCGTACTACAGGGATACTGCTACATCGATGTTCATAGCAGCACAATTCACAATTGCTAGACTGTGGAACCAACCCAGATGCCCTTCAATAGATGAATGGATAAAAAAATGTGGCATTTATACACCATGGAGTATATACGCAGCACTAAAAAATGACAAAATCATGGAATTTGCAGGGAAATGGATGGCACTAGAGCAGATTATGCTATGTGAAGCTAGCCAATCCCTAAAAAACAAATACCAAATGTCTTCTTTGATATAATGAGAGCAACTAAGAACAGAGCAGGGAGGAAGAGCAGGAAGAAAAGATTAACATTAAACAGATACATGAGGT